AATAATGGCAAATCGATTGATGTGATAGTGAATATTTATCGTCTGAGATGGTTAGGACATGTATTACGTATCGTCATCTGCCTACCTCGATGCGTGATAATGGTTGGTTTAGGACTAGGTTCGAAGATTGATACCGGAGGGTGAACGAAAAGGTAGCATCTGTTCATGATGTCACTAACTGTTGTGCTGAGCCATTTACGTAAATTTAGATTGCCTGATTAAGGTTTGGGTGATTTTCATAATCAGTGACATGGCTCAAAATCGTTCACAATAGCGTAGGTACGTATGTACGTATAAACAATTCATATGATTCACGTTACATAGGTATATTTTTGGACCTTTCTCCGTAAAAACTGTGCTTGATATCTGCTTAAACGTACTGACGAAACATGTACCACTTGGTTTTTATTACTTTACGGACTTCCGAAGTAAATGGATCAGCTCATCGTCAGCCGACTCGTAGTCAATAACTTGTGCTCTTAAATGTGCTGCTAATTAAACGTTGTACAGATTCTAATCTTATTAAAAAGCATCTGATTAAATTCCAGATAATTTATTTACTTATTTCATAAATAAATGTATCCAGTTATCGATTTCTTTTGGTTAAAGAAACTTATTAAAATAGTCTATTTTGAGAATTCTATGTTGTACTATGCATATTAGATTGAATAAAGCCATTTGTAATAGTTATGTTGATCGTAATTATAATACAAAATTGCTCATAAGATACTTATTTACATAAGATGCAGGTAATTTTGCCAGACTGTTTCGTTGAGAACTAGCTGTTAATAATCATTTATTGTTGATAATAAATGTAAACCTGTAAGGAATCTTTTAGAATACAATAAAGTGATTATTTCTATGGGCTGTCCAAGATATATATGTTTCTGATCCTCAGCTACTTACAGTTAAGCTTATCTACCCAAATAATTTAGATAGTGAAAGGTCATTGCCTAAATTGCTTAATTTAGAAGGCGCTGGTCATTCAATGCATTCTGGTTACGTTAGTCTTTCTGTAATTAATATTAATTCATGATAATTTCCTCAAAAATATATCCCGTTTGCGATGAATTTGCTATTAATGTGATTCTCGTCTATTTTCTTAGTACAAATAATAAGTACTCTGTAGGTGTTAGGACAAATTTGGTTATTGGATATCTGCTGGGATCACCGGTAAGTAATAGTGAGGTTAGACGCAGGGTATTAGGGAATGATGGTAAATCAGTTGATCAGGTTATGAATCTTCATCGACTGAGATGGTTGGGCCACGTGTTACGTATGCCTGAACACCGACTACCACGACGTGCAATGCTAACCGGTGTAGGGGATGGTTGGAAGAAAGTTAGGGGCGGCCAAACCAAAACGTGGCATCAGTGCTTGAAGTCACTAACTTCTAGTCTGAGCCATGTTGATAGATGCAGACTACTTGGTTGGGGTCCGCGTGACTTTCGTAACCAATGGTTGGAGACTCTTGGTGACATGGCTCAGAATCGATCACAATGGCGTCGGTGTATACACTCCCTGTCTTCCCTTAAACTAAGAGATTAAAATCACTTCATATCTTTCTTTCTACGAACCAATTCTTTCTTCTTGTACTATATCTCTATGTGAAATCTTTCTCTTATATATTATCACCTTTGACCTAACCACTGCTGTGAATCCGGTGTTCATCTTGTTGTGCTGATGCGGTATGGCAACCTGGACCGATGCACATATGTGCCTGATCCTACGTTGTAGCTGACTGACTGACCTGATTGGATATATTTCTGTAAATTTTTCAAATTCACAATTATTTATACGCAATGTTCACTTTTTAAGGGTTATAATGAAGGAATAATAAAGAATATGTAGTAGTAGGTTGGAAGAAAGCTACAGGAAATCAACCTAAAACATTCCATTATTCAGCAAACGCATTGAATGTTGGTTTGAGACATAGTTGTATATATAGACTATCTGTTTGAGGTTCGTAAAATAACCATAAACATTTGTTAGAGACTTTAGATTACATGGCTCAGAAGCGATCACAATAACACAAATGCATTCACTCTTTATCTTCCTCTTAATCATGTATATCTTCCCACCCCGTCTTTTCAAACCATATTCCCAAGGTTTGAATGTCTTGTGTATCGTTGCTACTACAGTTCCTATTGTTTTTGTGATTTATCTTGTTATTCTCATCTCGTCTTTGTTATTATTATTATTATTATTATTATTATTATTATTATTATTATTATTATTATTATTACTGTTAATGGCTTTATTCAATATTATATTTTGGTACAATACAGAATTCTCAGCACGAGGTATTTCCGCAAGTTTCTTTTACAAAAACAAAAAACAACAAAAAAGGAAAAGATGAAAAAATATCAGAATCTGTACAACTTTTCAAACTAGAGACATGTTTAAGAATTCAGGTTATTGACTAGATAAACTCTAACAACCCATTCGTCACAAAGTATATTTGCTAGGTAAGATATTATGGAACTTTTATACCGTTGCTTGAGCGCATGGGTTTTAATGTATTGACGTCTCGTTCTACCAAAAGATACACAAAAGAAAGTTATGAATGAAGGGAATAATTAGGATCTGAGAAGATAACACTTATCAGAAGTTTGCAGGAGTTTGGATGTTTACCCATAACCATTTTATTAATGACCTCAAACGATTCACCACACACCTTGCCAACTGCCTTCAACACTCTCGTTAATACAGTAAAAAATAATAGGTAATATGCATATATACAGTGTGATCATCCACATATTTCACAAAAGTATTTTCTGTGGAGGATGGAAGATCATACAGAAAAAAAGAGAAGAGGTGAAAGAAAAGCTCCTCATGGCATACCTTCATGAGACAGTAGGGGCGTTGAACACTTTCCTCCAAATGCAGAGTACTGTTCCCTTCCAGAGAGGTAGGAACATAGTCAATTGGTTATCTAGCTGTCAGTGTTGCCGCTGATTACCTTGTTGCGTAAAATCAAAGACAGAAGCCGAACACTGTATTGTGATGCAGAACAGCAATGTCAACTAAGGTGCTTCTTTTGCATGTGTAAGCAAACTGATACGGATCAATGTGCTCTTATATCGCAGGTTGAAGTGGAAGTATCAATAATTTTTCCATTGTTTTAAGGAAAGGTGAAGTTACTGCTATGGGTCTAAATTTCACATTTTTATCACCAGATACTTTCTTAGGTATAGGGATTATCTTTATCTGTCTCCACATTTTCGGTATGAGATTACTTGAGAGGGATCTGTTAAAGATACTCGTGAATGGATAACATAGAGCGTCAGCATGTTTTTTTATAGAAGAGGTTTGGGATACTATCAGGTCCTAAACATTGGGATGAATTCAGTAACTGGAGACATCTTAGGACATCAGTTTCAGTGAAACTAGGAACACAACTATTCTTTAAACTTGTGGATATAGGGAGCATTACATCAGATGACAAAGGACTTATTTAACCCACAAACATTCAGCCTGTCACCTGTAAGTTCTTTAAAGAGTTTCCACATACTTGGAGAGTATTTACAAGACAGAAGTTTTTGATTAAACATAGAGTTGAGACGTCTAATCTCTAGGTTTATTAGGCCATTTACCTTACGAACTTCAATAGAGTTTTCCTCCTTGTAGATTCTTTCTTTCACTCTCCGTAGTCGTTTTAATTGTGAAGATTTAAGTCGATCAAGACTTACAAAAATGGTTTCAGTGAGACAACAAATATCAAAACAGATTATAAGGTAACAAGTGATAACATCAGTAGTGTTTCCCAGTGAGTCATCTATAAATAATTTTTAGTTAGTCGTACGAAGCATGCTTTTTCAGATTTCGAATATTTTCTGAGTAATTCATATATTTGACTTTCTTGGTTTGATGTAAGAGTTTACTCGTTCCATGCTTTCTATATACTTTAGGTAGAACACGAATTATACAGTGGTCCAAGCTAGCAAATGGAGTACGTTTACGAGTCACATATATACCCACGTCATTAACGAAAAAAAAGTCTAAATGAGCATTCAACCGTGTAGGAAAATATACTACATTTTGTTGACCTAGTGATGTAAGGAAGCGACAGTCACATGAATTGAAATCATCACATACAACTGAAAGCGAATCACTGACGGCAGTAACAACGAATTCAGTGATTTCATCAGTGAAAATGAATAGCGCAGATGATGTGCAGTCTGGAGTCACGTAGACATTCGTAACATAAACATATTTGTATTTATTCAGATGTTTTGGACGGCATCTTAATGTTAGACAGTTAATAAAGTCATTTGAAAACTTGAAACAAAAAAAAGTAGATCGACACCAGTTCACGTTTACAAACATAGCTACGCTGCCGCCACACCTCTTTTTATTGTTTGATCGATCCTGATGATAGATTTTAAAATTACATAGTGATACTAGGCAGTCGTCCTGTAAATCATTTAACCAAGTTTCTTGAATTGTGATGAACCACAATTACGATACACATTTTGAAGGAATTGAAGATAGTCCACCTGGTTAATTAGTGATCGGAAATTAGAATTTAGCAGCTCGGGAATCAACATACGATTGATGTTCATATTGCCAACCACCGCGATGTCTTTTATTATATTTTTTTGTAACTTGTGCAGCGAAAGGTCTTAGGCTTTTCATAAACGTGCCTATATTGGTTATGCGATTAATAGACATAATGCGACCCTAAAACAAAATGACAGACAACTTGTTGAAATAATTAGATGGTAGAAACAGGTAGCCCAGATATTCAAGCGGGCCGCCGTGTAGACCTAGGAACTTGAGTCATCACATTTGTGTCAGATTCTACGTTAATTACGTCTGACTAACTGATATAATTAAATCTGCAGAATTATAGGTTACATAGCATTAGACTAGTCAATTTTTTATTCTTTTTCTCATGGTGTTAATCAATGCTGTTTTATTTTGTTATCGGTTTATCGTCTGACATTTTTTTTCGAAAATATTTTAATATTATTTCTTGTCTTTCATTATCATATCAGAACAATCTTATGTGGTTCACTGGGTTCTTACTTAGCTGAAAATGATGGCTGGCGTACACCGTTTTTCTGGATTGGAATATCATTTTTTGCATGGTCTTACATTGTCTATTTAATTGTTACCCGTGAAACTAAGAGACCACATAAATTGCATTTAATTTTACCTAGAATACTAACAAATTCATATTTTATTAACAAGAATGTAACAATAAGTCGGGAATTGAAGTCAGAAAATTGTATTAAAATATTAGATGTGCAAGAAAAAATGACGGTTAGTTTGATAAAATAATTTATTGTGAATTTACTCAGGGTTATTTTATGTTACTTTTTACAAATTCATTTTTCTCATATAATGCGGTCATAAAATTATGAAAGGAATATGTGAACGACAGTACACATATCCTATGAAGGTGCATACTTGCTGTTATGTACATCCTTAAGGACGGATCGTACTGATGGAAATGGTAAATAAAGAGAAATAGTGGTTTAAAACAACGTAAACCAATGCCACCCAATGTTTATCAATGATCAGGCTAATTACGTTTCATGGTAAAAACAGTTTACTCGGGCTTAGTTTATTTGAGGATTTAAAGAATTGGTTTATCTAAGAATAATCATATTTTATTTAACAATAGCTCTAATGAGATTTTACTGCACACCGATCGTCGTCTGAGTATTTAAGGCACCCTACTAAAGTCGTATATAACTTAAGTCTTCTTTTATTAAGCCAATTTTGCGTGGATGGGTTTATAAGTATTGTTAACTACTCACCCCTTTTGTCACCATCCTTTGTACCTTTTTGATTTTATTTATGTATTACAAGTCAGTATCAATACTTATTACCAGTGATGTTGTGATAAAGAATGTAGTGAACAGCATATTTTGTTTTTGGAATTTGTTTTGTATTGTTTATTAAGTTTATTTCAGCTCAAAACTGTGTAGTAATAATCCATCCTGCCTTTTCTAAAGGTCGTTTTACAATGGAAATTATTGTATCCAGTTAAAAAAAGGTATTGCGGAGAAATAATCCCGAAGAGCCAGCATTGATTATGCCTCCTCGCGGCGTGGATGTTGTTCACCATATTGAGAGGACGAAAAGCTAATTTCCATCACTGTAACTAGGTTGGAGGACACGGAGAGTCCACCTAGGGGAGTTGAAAAACTTTTATTGCAGTTCAGTGGTGCACAAGGGCTCCAGGATCCTGAAGAAACAAATGGCGTATGATCAAAATCATCCACCTGAGCTACAAATCTTCTCCACCATCTCAAAATGGCGTATGAACCTATTGTTGGTCACCGGTTACCATGGGACTGCATCTACTAACGCTTCTTCACTGCCTTGTGGATTAGACCTCTACGTCAATGGCTCGAGAAATTAGTGTTTGGAGATGTTATATATAATCATTTTAATTAATCAATCACTTCATTACTTTCTGAAAATCCATTTACCATGTATTTAAAAAAATTACTTAGGAGGTGTATTTATACGTTCTATTATCGATACTGTAAATATATTCATCTTTTTAAGTTATATTCATGTCGGTCTTGTGTTATTGTCTACTTTGTTTCTTTTGTAGCCGTCAGAATCAACATTTGTCTATATAGACTCAAAAAGTATCGATAATGATTCTGTATCTAGTGTACCTTTACGACATTTAAACTGGTCTCTTCTTTTCAGACACAAACCATTTTGGTAAGTTATTATATTTTGTTCAAGGTAATGTTTTTTACATTGTCCATTTGGTTATGTGTAGTCATTTAAAGGGGATTTTCAGTATAATTCTGCAGTAATGAAAAGTTATCGCTGATCTTGTGATACTGAACAAATCTTTTTTTGCATAGTAAACTTTATCTCTTCCTAGAAATATATTTAATTGTCGTTGGAATTTGTGAAAACTCATTTTTTATTTCGGCTAAATAGTTCACCGTACTGATTTGTTAAATAGTAAATGTTTTTAGTTTTGACTCCAAGATAGATTTTATTTTGAGGTTCTAGAGTTGGAAGTTTAAGCTGTTTGGTGGATTTAGAACTACATTTTAAAAATATAGGTTTTACTAAACTAATATACAGATTTTAATTCATTTTTATATTGTTTGTTCGAATCTTCTGGACTTAGTAGCTAAGTGGATAACGCGATGGCGTTTGAAGCGAACGGTACTGGATTATAGTCCCGGAGTGAACACTAACTCTGGAATACAGATTATATCCGGCTGATGGGTCAGAAATAGGACGAAACGCCCTTCCTGTGTTCCATTGCTAGCCACCATATATCTTTGCTCATAATGTATAGTTTGTTTAATTATATTATTTTCAATGAACTTTGTACAATTATTTCATTTTTTAGGAAGACAAACCATAGCAAAACAACAATATATATATATATATATATATATATATATATATATATATATATATATATATATATATATATATATATATATATAGCTGCTTAAACAAACGGGTAGTAGCACTAAAACGGGTTCGAATTGGAGTACATGAATCTACTTGATAAATGAATTGATTTTTTCGTCTTTTTTTGTGAATTTACGTATTACTATGTATTATCAGTATTATGTAATTCTTAGCAACTATAAGTAAACCTATTTCACTTAACTAAGTGTAGGATTCTCATTATTTTGATTCATATCATCAGATTCATTATCGACTGTGTTTTAAAGCATATTATTGGTCATGAACTATCTTACTTCCAAATGTTGTAGTGAATGATAACACAGTTGGGGACAAACGAATGTATGCGAATACAGTATTACAGGATGTCTTAGTAAAATCTGAGAATCGTATATTCAATACTTCATTTGCATAATGTCAGTCAGTCGTCTCAAGCTTGATTCTTCCTTCGTTCTCAATCATTCTCTGTTCTCGTTCTCTTTTCTTCGATCTTCTTAACCTTCTGCCGGCAGGCATTTCACTTTCGACTGATGACACATACTACTTATATCTGTCGACACAAGTAGCACACACCACAATGTTACAAATCATGCCTTAGTGGGGCTCTTCTTTTTGACGTCATTTAGATCGGATGATGTTATCGACGGACTCGCCACCTTAGTGACCTGGTGTCTGACTCCAATTGGATCGTATAAGTGTAATTGAAATAAACTTATTGGATATCCTCGTATATAATTTTTGACTTAAATAAGTCAAATACGAAAGTGAATTTCGAATACGTATATTTCATTCAATCGTTGATACAGACAAGCGAGCGAAAAATCGAAGCGAGGAAAAAAGAGAGAAGCGAAATGCGTGATGGAGAAGGCGTGTGAGCCAACTCGATTTAATCAATCAATAATGGATATTTATAGCCGGACAAAAATAAGTTACAGACATTTGGTGAGTAAGATATGATATAAACACACATGCGCCTATATAAAAACAATCAGGGTTGATAAGTGAATAATTAACAAGGTTAATACGTGACTCAAGTTGAATGGATAAATCGGCCTGTCCAGAAGCTAGAATAAGTTATGTGAACTTAACATAATAACCGACACTACAACGCGGTACCCGTAAGCCATGTGATAAAATCTATTTTCAGAAAATGTAATATTGAATTTATCGATTCAAAGGTCAATATATTTTGATTATATTCAAGTATGAATTACTTCATTTCTTTATATCATAATCTTACCATACTATTACTTTATTATATGATACAATTTCAAAATGTTTTGTTAAACCTTTAATAGCTTATAATGTATTTGCCTTCTATTGGGACAGTGAACTTGAAATTTACGTTCACTTGTTTGGGATGAAGGCTAAATTTATTGCCCTTATCGATCTCTATTGTTTTCCAATAGGGAATTAATTGAGATGAAGTTAATTCCTCGTCTGGGCCAAATTCATGTATCTTACGAAATTACACAGTGTTTTAAGTGTTAAGAAATGATTTTTAAATGTCTATGTCTATTTTCTACGTGATTATTTTGACAGGTTTTATTGACTTTGTCATAGAGGATAATTTTGTTTACTTCCTAATTGTATGATTGTTAGTGAACTTCTGACTGTATCCACACTTATGACTGACTGACGGAAAAAATTGTTTATGAAAATCACATGAATTAAAAAGTTTTAATTAGTTTGAGGTTATTTTGCTGTATAGTTTTAAACAAAACTAGAAAAAGCGGAAAAAATTAAATTGTCATTCGGGTAATTGTCTTTTTAATAGATTGACATTTGCTTTGTAATTATTTAAAAGTACATAGTATTCTACTGCTGTTTTATTTTACTATAGAATTTCTTATAATTGCCCTTCTTTGACCGTACTGGTATCGAACCCGTAATTTTCATATCTCATGGTTAGTACATTATCACTTTATGATATATTATGGTCTTCATCTTTGATCATCGATAATGGTTATTTCATTTCATATTGTTGGATTCTATCCATCCAAATATAATCATTTATTTTGTTAAATTTATCTTGACAGTAACATAAGTTTAGCCATCTTATCAATCTCAAGGTTATCTATGATAATCTACAACAAAGTGGGAACTTGTAGAGTAGAAAATGGTTATATTTTTGGACCTTAGAGCAGCATATTCGTTGGTTACTACTATTCGGTCATACGTATATTCAAACCACTCCTCGTGTATCTTGCGGCTATCAAGTTTGTAATTCTCAAGTTAGACGCAGGGTACTGCGTAATAATGGCAAATCGATTGATGTGATCGTGAATATTTATCGTCTGAGATGGTTAGGACATGTATTACGTATCGTCATCTGCCTACCTCGATGCGTGATAATGGTTGGTTTAGGACTAGGTTCGAAGATTGATACCGGAGGGTGAACGAAAAGGTAGCATCTGTTCATGATGTCACTAACTGTTGTGCTGAGCCATTTACGTAAATTTAGATTGCCTGATTAAGGTTTGGGTGATTTTCATAATCAGTGACATGGCTCAAAATCGTTCACAATAGCGTAGGTACGTATGTACGTATAAACAATTCATATGATTCACGTTACATAGGTATATTTTTGGACCTTTCTCCGTAAAAACTGTGCTTGATATCTGCTTAAACGTACTGACGAAACATGTACCACTTGGTTTTTATTACTTTACGGACTTCCGAAGTAAATGGATCAGCTCATCGTCTTCCCTTTAGTCATTCATCCAATCATTAGGATCGTAAAAACGAGCACATATGCCCGTTGGTTTAAGTTTCTACACCATAGTAAATCAATAAGATTGAATTATTAAGATTAATGTCACATGAGCAAACATAGTAACAGTATTACTGTTGACAGAAAACATTAAGGACAGACACTATGATCCTATGGAAAAGGATGAGTTCATGGAACAAAGAGTGCAGGATTATTTTCGAACACCGATGTTTAAGAGAATTTCACATATCATTTATTTAAACACATAATTAATGGTACAAAGGGGCGCCAAAATATATATGCGCCATACGATAAAAATGAGATTGTGAGGAGATAGAGTAAAGAAAGTGAATATGATAAAATTTACAGAAAGACCATGTGGCTTCTATTCTAAGCAATTTCTCATAAATCGTGTCGCAATATCTCCAGAAACCTCAACCAGAGAGTAGTGTAGGTTCAACAGAAGCCAGTCGTGTACAGCTTTTTTCTGTACCAAGACATGTCATACACCTACCATCTCCGCTCTTTCAGTCAGTTCCAGCGTCGTCAAATAATACTGTAGATCCGACCTTGTAAACTCAAAGTAACATCACAAAGGTGCCAAAAATGGCCTAGATTGACATGAATTTCTGTACTGTGTCTAAATGCTCACTACCCAGGGTTAGTACAAACACGGGTTCCTACCAGTCTTGTAAAAGTAATTTCCACTTATAAGGCAAAGAATGTATACTTTTGCACCATTACTACTGAACCTGATCCATGTCACTTGATAATCGTTTGTGCTCTAGGGGGATAGTTCACACTAACCAATATATCACAGTGCAATAGTTAGTGACTGGCTTCCTGAACCGATTGTAGTCATTCATAAAAGATAAAAATAAAACTCTTGTATACATCGAATAGTGGTGGGAGTTGCAAGAGATACATGGGCATGAGTAAAAAACAAAATTATACAGAGGGTTACAATACCCATCTGTTGATGATCCAATTAAGTCTGCTTGTATCAACTTCATACAGATTTTAAATTGATAGGTCTTTACAGTAAAACTGTTGGGTCCTTGGTCTTTCTACTTTCTCTCTAGTTAGATATGCTGAGAGAGTTCTCAGAACCGGTTAATGGCTTTGATGCCCTAGGTTAATTGACGTAAACTTGAGAATGCGAATGGAAGAACTATCTCGCTCGTCGACCAACGACTTGCTTAGTCAACTCTGCTTGATAAGAGAAGAAAAGATGACGAGAGCGAAATCCACTGTGTTCACGTAACTAAATCAGAAATGTACATGTGGAAATATATGAATAGTTAATCACGACGCTGAGTAAACGAGAATATATTATTTATGCTGAAACTGATCAATTAGAATGTAAAAAATAGCATCTACGACTCGTGCTCAAATTACAATAACTTTAAAGTAGAAGATATAACCATAGGTTATTCATTAAATGAAAGCTGGTGACTAAGATTATAAAACAGATACACAAACTAAATGCCAGTAATTACCGATAATAAACTTTACATATATACTTTGACCTTGTGAAATCATTGCTATATAATTCTGTGTATCAAATTTTCAATCAGTCATTTGAAAGTTAAACATTATCTCATACTCACTACAATTTGAAAATGTATTTAATGATGTTCTACACGCATTAATTGTAAAATATTTAAGAATCAATAGAATAGAATTGTAGTTAATCTAATACTCTTTATTTGCTCTAATAAAATATAAATATTTTCACAAACTCATGACAACAAACGTGTTTCTTTTAAATATAAACCGTTTCATACTAGTTGTCAACACATAGTAGAACGACTGATTGTATTATTTCTTATAGACAGTAACAAGTCACCATACTAACGGAATTTGTATTTAATCTCATACTGTTTTAAGGAATTTAATTTCAGTTTTCTACAAATTTTATCTCTCTATATAATCGATAACACAAAGACCTTATTGCTGACCTGCTCATTTTGGTGGATTATCTTTTTTTTCTTTGAAATATAAGATACATTTTTCTGTTTTCTTAATTTGTTGAACTGACAAATCATGTATTTTAATAGTTAATATACTCCGAAGCGCTTATATAAATGCTTACAATCTATTGCATACTTAAATACTATTAAATTCACTCACATTCATCACCATAGTCGATATACTTTCCTCCTTGTGTCAATCTTTTTTGAAACTAGTGAAAATTAACTGATCAAATATTTATAAGCAAAGATGGATAGTGGCTAGCAGTGGAATCCAGGCCGTGCGTTTCGTCCTGTTTGGTACTCGTCAGTTGGATGTACCTGCATCTCAGAGTTGATGTTCACTCTGGGACTCGAACTCAGTACCGTTCGCTTCAAACGCCATCGCGTTATCCACTTAGCTACTGAGTCCTGATAGCCATTTGTTTGTGCAATGAGTTGAAGTTTAATTCACTTGATATTGTTTTACTTGAATTTTCCCATTGATGTTTTAGGACTGAGATTGATCAGTCTCTTATTGGCATATGTGCATACTGTGCGTATGCCTCGATATTTCCTTAATTTACAAGCATTATAAACAAAGATGGATAGTGGCTAGCAGTGGAAACCAGGACGCGCGTTTCGTCCTGAGATGCAGGTACATCCAACTGACGAGTCCCAAACAGGACGAAACGAAGATTCAAGTAAAACAATATCAAGTGAATTGATCAAATATTTGTTATGAGTTGGCAACAAATGCTATCTTAAGAAAGATTGTTTCCAAAAATTGTGTAAATGTAAAAAGGAATAGTAGATAGTCACTGTTGTAAATCTTTTTCACGGATTCCTATATGAACTGGATGAATGTTTATTACAGCGAAATTTGTTGGAGTATTGATTATACGTCGTTCGAATTCTTCCTTATAATCACCAGTGTTTGTTATTTCGTCTTATGTTGTAGTTCAATACAATGAGGCTCTAAGAAGCTTATGAGGATCTATAATAATAATAGTAATAACAGTAATAATAATAAATCTGAACATGTATTAAAATAACTACGGAAACAAATAAAATCAAATGACTCTACAAGAACAGATGACAACAATCCACGTTCTATAGCTAAACTTATGTTTGAAACATAAGGTTGATCGTAACTCGGCTTTTGCGATTTTGTACAAAAGTGTTCATGAACATATACTAAGGTTTACTAAAGCTTTAGTAATATGGAAATTCAGGCACCCCTTACATGTGTATTCGTGGAAAAATTTTGTCCTTACCATAAGCCTACGTTATTATTGTTGTTTTATTATTCAGCTTGCTGAGTTTCACATTGTGTTTTTCTAAACGTTATTTTCTTAGATCATCTGATTTGTCTAGTTAACCTTTTATCCTTCATACATAAATTTTTTTAACAGATTGTTTAGAATTTATTATGCTAATCATTGTTCTAACAATCTTCATCTACTGATGACATTATCTAAGCTAATTATTTTTTCAATAGCGTGTTGTTTATTGCCTTTTTTATTGATTTTTGACTCAACTTAGTGTGCAATCGTTGTATATTATTATTATTATTATTATTATTACCATTATTATTATTAATAATGGCTTTATTCAATATTATATTTTTGGTACAATATAGAATTCTTAGCACAAAATATTTCAACATGTTTCGTTTTCTTATTTCTTGATCGGTCCTGACGATGAATATTTAGTGATCCGATGTTAGATGTTAGCAGTTCAGGCATAGACATCTAAATAATATTCATTTTTCTCAATGTATATTGCCAGCCACCAGGATGTCTCTGATTGTACTTTTTTGTAACTTTTACAGTAAATGGTCGTAAACTTTTCATAAACGCGCCTGAATGGATTATGCGCTTAATAGACATGATGATGTGTTAAAATAAATAAAAGTCAGTCATTCAGTTACAACGTAGGACCAGGCACATATGTGCATCGGTCCAAAATGCCACACCTCATTAGCACAGCAAGATGAACACCGAATTCATAGAACCAGTTAACTCAGTGGTGTAATATATAAAGGACAGATTGTATATAAAACAAATAAAAACATAATATGTAGATGGCAGGAACAGGTTTGTTATGTCCTGGCGAAGATTAAATTATAGATAACTTCTGAGAGCTATCAATAGACTAATATCTTATGTATATTTATGTTCCTCTTATTATAAGCTTTGTTTTGACCTACAGACTATTATTATACGATTTACTATTTTTAAAGTTATACCCTGTAGATTAATTACTATTTCTCACAATCACAGCCATTTTTTGGTTTGATCTTGTGCAGTTATTTTTTATTTTATGGTATGATTTGGTCTGGTTTGCTTGTACGAAAACCAAACATAGTTATATATCCTTTTCAAACTGTCTTAATTCATAACGCTTATGTTTTATCACATTCTTTATTGTTGCTCTCTTTCCGGGTTTGTCTATAGGGTTATGCTTTTGGCTAATTTTGTTCATAATAATACATTTTATATTATCCTCAACTGGTGCCCTTCGTATTTCCACGACAATTATCCCGATGCAAGAGTAAGTGAGATTTCAGTTTAAAAATTTTTTCACTTGATAGTAGTTGTTATTTGTGTATGTACTGTAATTTATATTCTAGACTGTTCACAAATGTTAACATTTGCACTGTTGATTTTTTGAATAATTGTCAATATAGTGTTTCACAACTAAATACACTGTAATTGATGTCGAACATAAATTTTTGATTAGAGTTGAAAAAAAGCATGGAGATTGATTGATTTCCTAGCCAATGAGATGCACTTGCCCTTTAGATCAGTTCACATTGCCATCAACTGACCTTCACATTAAGCTACTTCTGATTGGCTGTTCATATCAAATTTCTCTTAGTTTCTTATTAATTTTCCTGTGTTAAGCAATAACAATGAAGATTATACAACGCTGAATATGAAATGAGCATTCATTTCGTTGTTTGCTGTTCTGACTTCACACAAAGATGCACATTATTTTAATGTTGATAAAAAAGGGTGATCAAATATGTAATTTGGTATAAAACATGTAAAAAATAGTTTAGGTTACTTGGTAAACAAGAATTCTGATTACTTTCTACAATCGTGTTTTTTTAATTCATTACGAGAATAAAAATTAACAGAAAATAAATCGAAATGATAAAGTTGGTTATAATTTACGATTTACTTTCGTAACTAATCATAATTATCCTTCATACAAGTTTCACACCAAATCACATTTGTAAAACTATTACATTGATGGGAATATTGTACGTTTGTTTAAAATTTGAATTCATCGACATAAAATTATATGAACGAAGAATATTCTTTCTAACCAACAACTTCATGTTAGTCAGCCCCAACATGAACGATTTGATTTGATTTTATATAGCAAACAACAATTGTTGGTTCACACATCACACTTTCCAAATGATGTACTATGCCTTAAATCTGGCCAATTTTATGGATTATTAATTTGGATATGAGATAATTGTAGAACCTGATGAGAAATTGATTGGAAAGAATAATCTTCGTGGATATAATTGTGTTTTAATATAATGGGAATTTTCCGGAGATAAAATTATCTTCATTTGAATCATGAACCGATCAATGCTAGACTTACCATTGATGACCTGGAGGCACTGGACATCCATTTCGTCCCTAATATGGGACTTAATGATGGCTGAATACTGTCCGGTTCATGATTCCAATGAAATTCAGCAGTCTTCACAATCCTATATTGATAATAAAATCAATTTACTTATTGTTTTGTTTTACAGAAGTTTATTATTATTTTTTTTACAAAGTAATCCTTGTCTCTAATTGATTTGTTTATCTTTTAGAGTTGGGTTTTCAATATGGTCCCATGGCTAATTATATTCCCATCTGTTTTATTAGCTGGTGCCTTAGCTGATCACTGGATTAAAACTGGTAATTGTATTATATTTTTGTCATAGAATTCTCTTGATAAATTTGTCGACGATTATTGACCAATGGTAGTTGCCAGTACCCGAAGTTGCTTAATATGTTGTTCATTAGTTCAAAAGCATCTTGATTTATTTTTCATTTACACTAGTAAAACTCTGTAACTATGAGTCCTGTTTAAGCGCAATAGGGGTTCATTTTCGTTTTCCTATTTCGGTGGTCATATCCTTACAAAGATAGGGTCTTTCTTATTTTCATTTAAATTTAAAATCAGTTTATTAGTTTCCCTACTTAAGTGCAAATGATATTCACTAGTCTCGCTTACATAATTCATCATTTTTCTTTATATTGTAGTCCTTCACACTTTTCTGGATTGTATAGGTTTTTGTGAAATTGGAATAATGTAATTAGTCCCATTTTATTTATTAACAAAGACAAGTTCCATGATTCATATGTGTAATAATTTTAAAAAACAAAACAGATTCTTTGTAAGTTTTATCTCTCTCAAAAGATATCAACAAATAAAAACTAAAAATATGTCACACTAAAATAAGCATGCTTTTTTATGATTATAAAACCTCATTAAAAATCAACACAAGTGCGCATTGATCGAAGTTGCCATGTCACAATAAAATGACGAGATGAAATTACTATGATGAATGTCAAAGAAATCAAAACCCTGTATCACACGGACCCCAACCAGGTAGGCTGTATCTACAAACATGGTTTAGACTAACAGTCAGAAACTTCATGAATTTTTATTATTTTTTGGGTTGGCTGCCCTTAGCTCTCTTACACCATACTCGTAAACCAGTAAACATCTGTTAAGATATGTGGTGATTAGTCATACTTAACTCATGTTCTATTTCAGTCGATAAAGATTCACTACCTCACCAACCGGTTCGACACCTCTACACAATTATAAGATTGTTTAGTCGGTTGTTCCACGAAAATTAGGCAATATTTCAAAAACTTTCAGTATCGAATCCCTCAGTCTAAGCATGTATTCTACCTTCGTACATCTTGTTTCACAGTCATTTAGCTATGAAAAGCGAACTTCAGCACAGCTTTTTTGTTGACAAACGGACACCACACCTACGCCACAAATGAAACAAGCGGACTCTTCAGGACTAATGAGACTTACAAGACAAGTACAGTGATCGATTCTTCAACTACTTCGCTCTACATAATCGGTTTAGACGTTGATGCAGACCACTGCTTAATCAATATTTTGTGCAAGGTTCGAATAGTACAGTCCGAATTGTAAATTTAACAAATAAGTATCAAATTTACTATGATTCATTCTTATTTAAACTTTCCAGATATCCACTTAGTTATATTTCAAGGATTATTGTATTACAAACCTTATCAATTTATCTACACTTAATTTAAATTATTTTTAGGTGTATCTGTAACAATAGTGAGGAAAATAATTACGGTGAGTTCGTACACATATTGCCGTAATGTTTTGCTGTATAATATACTGATTTTTGTAGATGCTAAACGATTGGCTAAGCTAGCGCTTATCAGAAAACACAGAAAAATTATTGGAAACTAGAGGGAAAGAGCACGTATTTACTGCAAACATAATGCATCACAAGCATATTACTAAGTTATGATCATGCTGTTTGATAATGACCTACTTGTGTAAATAAATTTTCACACTGTGTCAATGAGAAACTGTAACCTATTAAATCAACTTACTGGGACTGAGACTATAGCTTACCTATGGTACATTACCAATTTACTAAGGTTAAGAATCCGGACCTTTTAAATCCCACAATAATATTTCACAATTATATCGCTTATTGTCAGATTCATTGGGTGTGATCTTGGATCGATTTAAGTTCATGAGTGTATGCTCCGCTAAAATATGAAGTAAACAGCTACCTGCTTCGTTTCGCAACTGGTTCTTCAAAGGAAATCAGTTTATGGTTTAAAAAAGCGAAACATTTTTAGTTGTATATATTCACAGAATAATAATAATAAGCAGAATATTATACTTTACTGTTTCGAATGTTCAAACAAGAATGATTTATATACATAGTGTAACACATAATAACATTATTAGCGATAACTATCACAGTAAAATGATTGTTTAGAGTTTGCTACGTGAACTTGGTTATAGATATTGGCTAGTAATATTGAATTAAACAACTTTAATTTCAAATTAACCTGACTTTGCTAACAATGATTAACAAAAGTTTTCTAAGAGAATCCTAACAGATAAAGTTTCAATGGTGTTCTTCCTTTAATTCCAACGATGCCGTAAATCTAGACCCAATAATTTCAGAAGTATAAAATATTTTAAATGGTTGATCTTGGCTCAATAGTTTAAGGGTTACGGACTTAGATTGAGTATAAAACATCCCAGGTTCAATCTTCGACGTGGTCCTGGACTCACACTGCAGGGGAATCACATACTATTATGAAATATATTGTCCAATGTTTCCTGGTTTTCAGTGGTTTTCTAACTAAGGTTAATTGATTATGCGTGCTATGAAACTCGAAAACGTCTATAAACCATCCATATACTAATAATAATCATGTGCTCACTGATGACGAGAGGTAATTCTCGGAGCTCTGATGAAAAACCGTCAGCAGTGAAGCTCGACCGTGTGTGTATAGTGAAAATAGTTGGTAATTGAATTATTTTTAAGATATATGTGTTAAGTTCTTTTTTGCATAATTTATAAATTCTAAGGGTGTTAAATCCTCGAAACCCATAAGCTTATGAGAGACAGTGTTAATAGACTATGCAGAAAAACATTGTACAACTGAGTATTTCTTTTTAACAATTGGTTTCGTCGTCTCTTGTTTTTTCCTTGATCTTCCAATAATATACATACTAATTTCATTTCTATATTATACAGACAGTTGTTCTTTTGGGTTCATCTTTATTTCTTATCATCTTATCATCTCTGGATAATTATTATGGGTCACTAATTTGTATGGCTTTTGCATTAGCCTGTTTAGGCTTTCATTGCAGCGGTGTACTGTTAAATCCTCAAGATATGGCTCCCAATCATGGTGGTCAGTTGTACGGTAGGTTTTTTTTCGGTTAATGCCTTGCAAAAAAGTATATAGGAATTACTCAATATTTAAATATTCATGCATTTCTGTTTTTCAATCAATTCATGATATGTTTGCGGCTGGTTTAAACAATTAGACTATAATTAATAGGTAATTTTTGTGATGGTTATACACTAGTTACTGTACGAATAAAAACCGAGAAGTTTTTGACTGCTGTTTCTTTCTATTGTGAGGCTCGTCAGTACACACCTACGGTCTCATCAAGAATCCAGCGCGATATCGATCGGTCCACACTTTGTTTCGATCAACTCATGGTATAATATGATGATCATCCAGTTCAACTGATAATGGCTATTTCACTTCCTTATGTCTGAACTACACAGCACGACATTTCTCTGGAACTTCATTAGCTCATTTCGAAATTAGTCGCTAGTGCACATGCGTTTACATTATGGTTGCTAATGTTTATGGGGATAGTTTTTACCTTTAGAAATAACATCATATAGAGTCCCACTGAATACTGGGTGTCCCTGTACACAGATGTTTCGTCATAATGTGCAACTGACTTCTGTGAACTCCCCATCACCCGAGAGACCGAACCTTAATCCTTCAGATTCTGCAGCGGGATTTTCGGACCGGCGATTCGGAACTAGATGGTCTGTATTTTAAACTCTATCATTCATAATTCTCATTCGGATAAGAAATTTGTGTTCATACTTCTTCATTGTATAATTTTCCATCATTTCATTTCTGTTGATTTTTTGTTCGTGACAGGAATTATGGCTACCGTTGGTACATTTCCAGGATTTGCAGGTGTCTATATGGTTGGTTATATATTAGAAGCTACAAACCAATGGTCTGTGATCTTTATAATGACTGCTTTCGTTAGTATTGCGGGTTGGGTTGGATACGTGTTGTATGGATCATCAGAAATTCTCTTTTAAGTCATAATTTTCTTGAAATATCAATATTTAAGTTTCTTTAGAATACGAACAATAGTGATTTTGAATTGTTATTTTTATTCTTACATCATATTTACATATCAAATCTGTACAAATGGACAAACTGAAAGTGAGGTGATAACTTACGTATCTTAGATATTTCCAATAATTTATGTATGTTACATGTTTATATTGGTTTGGATACGCTGTTTTTCGTCGAATATTTAGAGCAAAGAAACGTTCATGCATTTTTTTGTGTATGTTACTATTTCTTTGTAAGACATTCCTAAACATCATCGGGCGAATTGTTTCAATTTCAATGATCCGCATAAATTGAAAACTCTTACCTTTTTAAAAAATAAATGTTAATATGAACTTCGTGCCTAATTTGTTCATGTGATACACTATATTTTTGTAAGTGATTTGGTTTCATTTTGCTTTATATTATTGTCTATGTTGACTAATTTTAAGTATAAAGATCATTTGAAGTTATTCGAGTTCCTTTTTTTTCGACAATGAAAAACAATATCTTATATTGTTTTATAGTTTGTTTAATTAAGATCAAAATGAGAATCTTTACAATTGTAAAATTTGATGAATAGTCTAAAGTCGTTGATTCTTGTCAATTCTCCCATTAAATTGTTAAGATTTATCTTTAATAAATTTGATTTTTAGATAATCATTTGTGTGGTATTTGTTCATTAAATCTTAATTGTTGTTTGAAACTTCATAATATAATTGATGCAAATATTTATAATCTCTTTCTATGGATAAGGTAATTTCCATCACAATTAGTAATAAGTTTTGTAGTGACAACAGAACTCTATGTATATTAGCGTTACCTATTGAATTTCCGTAAATAAATCTTTTTCGTTTATCCTTTAACCATTATATTTTTACAGTAGGTTGTTACTGTTTGTGCAACTTCAGTGGGTCGATTTTCTATTCGATGATATTTTCTAATAAGCTTCTGTCATTGTAATAGTTTGCAAAGTATACTTTAACAGATTTCTACCGTGTAAAAGTAACACCATAACCTTTTGAATAGGTTTTAAGTTCTCTCTATTTTGTTTATTTTATCGCACATTTTGAATCCTTATATAAATCTTAAGATGTAACAATCAATTTCTGTCACATCATCTTTACCATTGTTATACATTTCATAACACTGATTGTTTGTTTGTTTGCTTGACCTATCCTATTATGTTGAATGTGAAGTGGAAGGTAATTTGTTTTATTTATTATGACCACTTGAGTTAAGTGTGTATTAATTGGATTGGATTGGAGCGTTCTTTGGAAGCACCTGTTCACTTTTTACATACCTCGTAAATGTTTTGTTATCTTATTTTTACATTATTTTCAGGCATAGATACCTAATATTACTAAATGCATGTAAGATTACCCAGAAGTAAGGTGAATTTTCGATATCCGTTAGCAAATTTTTCAAATACTGTTCATTATAATTATACATCTAGACTGTGCTTCTTTAATCTTGTTTTGGCATATTGAGTTTACTTTTAGTTATCTATACCATTTATGTAGTGGTGAACCTAACGTGTTTTGTAATTTGATCTTTATAGTACCTATTTTCCATTTCGAAATATTTTATCGTCTATTCTATCCGTCTCCAACACTCTTGATATAATCTCCAGATGTTTTATTCTTGGAAAACTAAGTAATTTCACTACTTGTAACGAAACCTGCGTTTCTGATTAAATGGATGATATGCTTTCACGAATGACTTCTAGTTGTGTTCGTTGAACATCTTAGTTAATTCAGGTTAACTTTTAAAATCTGCTGTTCAAGGTCAAGAATTTCAATAGCAGGAATAAGCGGCATAGACATAGCATTACGTATGAACACCAGAAACAATGGAGACAGATAGAAACCTTACATTTTCGGGGTGAGTTAAATATCCATCAATGGGAAACGTTACGACAGAATTAAAGAAATAAAATATTAATTAAGGTAGGATTTCAACGTTTTAACTGAATGGTTATTTATATTACAATAAAAAATTGGAGTTCTTATTTCAAGACATCCACATGAACTTAAAAGCGAAATAGTGCTTTGCGGTTCTGATGCGGGAACCAAGTATTCTTAAATGACATCATTATGTATGAAATTATATCAAACTGTGGAATTACTGACAATTTTGCTCACTATAATCATGCTGCGTGTTACAGTCGTTTGTTTGCGTTTTCCTACAAACTGAACATTCCCAATTATTGATAATTTGGAAGATTATAAAAATTTACGCAAATCCATGATGGAGTTTGCTTTTTGAGCTATCCATATCTGGGCTCATACGTTACTGGTCTGTACTCTTATATTCTGTTGCTGTCTGTTCTCCGACTGTATTTTGGGACAGAGTAGACTGATCACTTAGTTACAGTTACGTGGGTTGGAAAATCATTATTGATACCAATTCAGTATAACACAGTGTGAGCTAAGGAGTCACATTAGTCGTACTCATTCCAAGTGGGTTAGTGCTATTGGTCAGGCGAAATAAGTTTGCTTATACGAACTGTAGTTCCAGATTAACATTGATGAGACTGACTTGTCCTATATTGCTAGTTGAATTGGCAAATGAATATCAGCGACAAATTGGAGTAACACACTCACAGAGGAGATCGTATTCTGTCATTTGTGACAGCTTTTCAGTATTCAATGTGTCGCCAAAAATGTTTTTGATCAGTTCGCTGTCAAAATTCTGCAGTGTGGTCTTAATGACAATTATATTTAACAGGAGGAACGCAAACGACGTTCTTATGTAGGTGGAAGAAGAGAGCTGTTGTATTTAGCATTATTATGGCAGCTATTTGACAAGCATTCTGTACTGAGAGATATGCTGATCCTAGTCATCCGTATAACTGAGCACAAGGTTGATCAAGTACTAGAGATGAGCTACGTCCATATCAATCCATCATTCCAAAATATTATAAGCGAAGCTTTTCAGGTGGTACACCACGGGAATAAACTGTACAGATAAGCCATAGCTGATATAATTTTTTGGTAAGGGAAGCCCTAACAATAATAGTCATTTCCACTGGTTTCACAAGTTTCTAGAAACAGAACTGAAGTTAACGTTATACTTGCTTTTTGCAAATCATCCCAAGACGATGAAAACTTGTTTGGATATTCCATAAGCAAAACAATGATAATATCTAGTCCTTTGATGTATAGCATCAAATATAAGACTTATTTGAATGCGAAGTGCTTTTTTTATTCATAGACACTTCAAACATACTTCACTCGAACATTATATAGATACTGTTTTGCGTTTAACTTAATGAATCAGTACTTGTATTTCGGTGGCATGAATATGTGAAATTTGGGCATTCTTATGACTTTGTTATGTTACTTAATTTGTATAGTCAGGAATAAAGTGATCTTTCACCAATAGAAGAACGAAGAGTTAGGGGATATAACCCGGTAAATAGTGAAGACGCTTGATGTAATGCTCTAATATACTAAGACAAGATTAGCAAACTTCGCTTCTAAAAGAATTGCGTCTCTTCTGTATGGACTCATCCGGTCATTCATACTCAACTAAAACCAATATTAAATAACGTGATATTAATAGTCTGAAAAAATTGGGCATTGAAAAGTTTAGGGGATACGAAGAAATGAATCCATTACTACAAAAAAGACATAGAGCTTACTACTAAATGGTTGGCGTTGTCTTCGAGTTTGACGTGACCTTACTTATCTCTCACTAATAACAGGAAAACTCACTTTTCCACTAGCATATTCATATATTAGGACGCTCACAAGAATACATACTGCTTGTTCACCACAAAGGCGACTAGCGGAACTAGAGATCTTATATCAGAGGTTAAAAGTAAGTCGACGTTCCCTGATCTTAGAAACAGGACTATAAAAAAGCTCAACACGAAACCAGACAATGAACCCCACAGGGGTATGTATAGCATGGACAATTCAACACGAAAACCAAAAGTGAATTCACCGCCAAGTAATCAGGATCACACCCAGGTCCCTACTTCTAATAAAATAAACAAGCAAAGAACAAATTAGAGGAAAGGAGCATCACAAACCGCTAATGGTACAGACTGCTGATGGGATATAACACAAAAATAAGAATTTTGCCACAAGCTTGTCACTCGTTAAAACCGCGGACAGCATTTTAATGTAATTTCTTGTAGTGGCAGGGTTCTCTATCACTGGTCCTACTTAAGTAACAGTTTTTTATCTATAATAAATATATTGTTATATCTCCAGCCTAAATGTGTTTTTCACCGCATATTGATGATTGTTACAATACGAATGTGTCAGTGTAGATAATGACATAACATCCACGTAAGATCTTATAGATTAGGTGGTCACATCATGAGAAACGTACAGTTAAATAAGAAAGAAAAATCAATTCAGCGAAGAGTTCTCTTTTCGGCAAATTCATTTTCAAAGCTGTCGAAGAATTTTCCAGTAGTATTTAGGATATTTGTGCATTTTAACACATTCGCTAAGAAAGGTAATCTTCGCATTCACTTCCGCAAGTTTGACAGAATAACGCAGAAACTCATTAAGTTCCTTACTGTCGAAAGGTCCTTGGAATTTTTTAATAAATGTACAATTTTAGGGTTGAGTCTATTATTGTAGAAGTACTAATATCATCGTAGACCATATTAAGTATGCTATCCAACACAATATGCCACAGCGTAAGCATGCATTCGAAAATCCAGTTGACCCATGCTTCTGTCGAGGTGAATCTGGTGATGATAGCGGTGGATAACAGTGGATGACTACTGGTGGACAGTGAAGGATATGATTCAGCATGCTATCCAATACAATGTACCACAAATTAAGCGAAGACCCTGTGTTAGACGAGTCATAGAACGCTTGCTACTGGCCGAACGGTGAGCCCATAACAATTTGAAAGTCTCCATGAAGGATTCTAATCTTAACTTTTACTTGGCATTTAGAGCCATTAGAGTCTGCAGTAATAGGGTATGTTTTCAGGCCAAGCTAGCAGCTAAAATCCAAGCTGACCCCGAATATCTCTACTGATTCATGGCAAGGAAGAAGCCCACAAGCCAAGGGATCTGTGCTCTAAATAAGTCATGTGGATTCGATCTCAATAGCTTAGAGGTGTCAAAGGTCTTTAGTGCCAGCTTCATAGACCAACTAAACTAGGAGCCTGGAAGCGTGAAGTACCTCTGAATTATAGTGGTAGTTTAGGGTCTTTGAGATATTCAGCTAACCTTTGGATTAGTATGTAGTGACTCACATTTATCACGAGAACACGACTGGTTTAATAAAAACAATCATTATTATAACCAACTGTACCAGTGTTTGTTTTAATGTGCTTTTGTTTAACTGTGCTAATTAAAGCCATTTTGTGCTTCCATTACCTTCCATCATTGTTCCGCGGTTTTTGGTACTGTTCGCACGTACTCCTGTCTTCTGCTTCCACTTGTAGCATTCCTTGGCACGATCTCGGTATTCGTTCAATACCACGAGATCGCCAACTAAATAAATCTGGTTACGTTCAACCTCCGCCTTCTGATTTACCTGGCACGTGTTTCTTGGTAGCGGTGCTCATAGTTAATCTCAACTCGACGCCACGCTACAAGTATTTCAGAGACTCCATGAAAATCCGCTCTTTATCTCCTTCCCAAAGCTTAGTCTTGTATTTGTAAGCACCAAGCGCTTTTACACACGTTAAAACTACGTAAGGGATCCAGACAAGGCTAGCGCAACTCTTCACTTTATGCATGGACAACTTCACGCAGTCGAATCAGTGTTGTTCTTAACACTGCTTAGAATATGCGCATGGCTCCAGCTTGACGTCCACACTCTTTTCGCTCTCTCTCTCTTCAAAAGTGATACAAATCTGCTAGACCAATAAAAAAGGGGGAAACCAAGTGAGTGATAAAGTTCAAATGTAAGTCTAGCGAGTACAGACTCCATCACCTGTGATTATTCACGTTCACCTTAAAAAGAATTCTATGTGATTTGATATCAGGATGCCCTCACTTCTCTTTAACAGTTACTCCACTAGGAAATGCTTTCCCAGCCGGA